TTTTGAACATTAGTCTGACAAGACCAATGATATATCCAGTTTCAAGAGAACACCGGTGGATGAGTAGCCCCTCAAAAAAGAACCAGAAAAAACAGAAACAAATCTCGTTGGACAGCATTCACTAATCCAAACATAACCACCAGAATAGGGAAACTTAGAAACATCCGAATACATTCCTAAAGACAACAAAGGGTTGTTTATAAAGCAAATATGCCTCAAGTAACATAATTGAGTTATTTTACTTGTATTGTAATAAATGATTTTATTAAATTATTCTGTTTTTAATTTAATCAAAATAGTATAAAACTTAGTCAACACAAATATTTACTGATTAATGGTTATTTAATATAAAATATAATACCCCATATCAATTAAAAATCATACATTTTTAATCATCTTTACTATAATACAAGTAATTAATATTATTGTAAATTGTGTATTATCTACAAATTTATTGCTTTTGAGCTATAAAACCATGTTTTAAAAATATCTTTCAAACCAACATCACCATTTCAAGATTGACTTACCTAGTTTCAAATGATTTTGTGGGTGAATTGCACAAATTTGATCAGATCTGACAAGCCCTTGTTGAATTAGCCATTCTGTGAACTTTGTTGGAGTATGCATCAAAACACTTTTGACTTTAGCATCTAGTGCGGATCGATCAGCATTAATATTTTCTTTTGCATGTAAGTAAGGTCTAGCTACAACAACCAAGGATGGATAGGTTTTACCTGAAATCATTTTTACATAAACAGAAAGTTAATTGATGACATAATAAAAAAATAGGGCTTGAACATTTTTATTACATTTGTGAATGCTTCACACATAATCTTCAACAAGATTCATATTTTGAAACTGTAATTTATAATTAGCTGAATTTAAAACAATTATACAAACCCTGCAACTTATTAAATGACACTTCTCGAGAATCTGGGAGTGGTCTACCAGAATCATCCTTCGTTAGGTCTACAAAAGTATTTTTGGCTTTGCCTCCAACTCCACCAGTAGCTAAGCCACCCACAGATGTAGCTTCAGTTGGCCGAACAGTAGCTGTTACATTTTGTACAGCTAGAAAAAATAAAATAATGATTTGGGTAAATATTAAATCCAGACTAATTTATTAGTTATATTTAAACTTTGCATTTATCTGCTTATCTTCAGAACTAACATTATTACTCATAAATTTCTGTAATCATTGATTGCAGAAATCATATATTTACATTACTTGAAATAATTAGCTTAAAGCAAATACCTCAGTAGTAATTTATATAAAATCAAAATAATAATTGTAAAGATTTATATAAAATAAAAAAGTGATCAAGACATCTACAGAGATCCAATAATTTATATTTACTTAATATAATTAAGTAAAAAAGAACAATGTATTATAGGTTCTGGTATAATATGTATTATATAAAGGTATTATAGAATTAGAAATAAAACATAAATGTTTGCATATATACAACAAAAGATACCTTCTTTAGGATGTTTCTTTGAGGTGGTAGGCTCACTAGCAATGACCTTCGACCTTGTTGCTAGAAATAATGAACAATATAAACATATCAGACAAAATGCAGTAAAATCAAGTTTATTACTCATAAATAATGCATAATAATTTTATTTTGATAAAGATTATATTGACAAAATCTATTTAACCCAATAAAACAAGTTCAAGCAAATTCATAGTCTCCTTTTTGAAGAAATTATTTAATTACATTTAATATCAATGGAAAGTCTTTAATAATTTAAATAGGATGCTCCTTAATTAGTACTCTTTTTTGCCATATGAATTTGCTTCAAATTATCTGTAATTATGTTATGCTAAAAAATTCTATATATTTAAAATGATTTAAAATGACACATAATATTTTGCAATATAAATAAAAAATCAAATTATCCAAATTTGGCAAAAAAAACTCACTTTTACTAGTAGTGGGTGCAGGTGGAGGTGATGGACTTCTGCTTTTATAGGTACTCTTACTAGGTCTTCCAGACCTTGTAATCACCTGCTTGATTTTCTTGGCTGGAGGAGGTGTGGGACTGTCAGAATCCCGATCCAATGCTGCAACCGCTGACGCAGCAGCCAAAGCCGCAGCGCGGCTTGCTCGTTTACCACTACTCGTCTTTTGTATTGTATTATCAACATATCCGCTGTGAGGAGTACTTAAATGGGAATTCTTTGGAACCTTTAAAGACTTTGCTGTGTGATTTTGAAGTGAAGAAGGCGTTCTGAAAAACAAAAAGAATGCAAGCTTTTGATTTTAATTTTTCAGATTGACCCAGACTATATGAACTATTTATCATCTAATGGAATATATTTGCTCATATTGATTTCCATGCTGTTTAATTCATTTCAGTTTGTAATTTGGAGTATCAAGCAATGAAGTTAATGATAAAAGTCTGTATTCAATAGAAGTAACAAATGACGTCTGTTAAATATATCTGACTATTTTCTACATTAAATATTTATATATTTACATATGCAAATCTGATGATAATTCTAATTGTAAACCTTTAAGAAATATCAACTCTATAACAAAATAATTATTACAGATTCAGTGATTTTCAATAAATGTTAGTTTTTCAGTAATTATAATTCATAATATATAGCAAATGGTATATCAAACTAAATTATTTATACTTTCTTGCAAGTTATAATTACAGGGATAATGAAAATAGTTGATTCGAATGTTTTCCAAGAGAAATGGGTAAATGAGCAAGTGAGTAGACAACTTAGCGAGCAACATAAATTGCATAAAGTTTTAATAACATATACATAATTTGACTAGAAAATTATGCATACCCTCCAGACACTTGATAAGCAGCACAGTTATCCCCTGTAAAAACGACTTCTCCACCAGTGGATTTAACGATTTCATCAAGTTTAGTTTGTATTTCCTGGTGTTCATCATCTGCTTTTTTAAACGCCGCTAATTGAGCAGGACTTAACTCGTCCGGCCAACATTCCAGTTGCAAGACCATTGCGAATAATATTTATGTTTTACACAATTATTAATAAAATGTTCATGCCTTCAGTAATAAATGGAGGCACTATTTGAAACTGAAAAACTCACATTAGCAACTATTTTTCATTATAAGTCATGCCGGCTGAATAATAATTATTTAAGGCTGAAGTCAAGATTCACTTTCATGCCGCAAGATTATGTAAGTATTAAGTTGCAGTATACATATTAAAGTATTGCAAATTATAAATCCGCGTAATTAATTTCACAAAACAACAAACATCAAATAGAAAACACTGAAAATCAAAATGGCCAAGTTGTTTTTATAGAGCACTGAAATCTGAAACTGTCACATCAAGGGCGCCACTACCGGCGATTGGTTGAAATACCGGGTTGGCGCCAATAATTTAAAATCTATGATCACTTGTTTATTTATCTATGTAGATGATTTTCAGCTATTCGCCATGTGCGAAATATTTGTTTATTTCAAATTTGAATAATATAATTAAAAATGAGCCACCAAAGCTGTTGTGTAGTGGGTTGTAGAAATACCGGCAGAAAAAGTGACTGCAAGTTCTATTCATTTTCTACAGCTAAGTGGAAAGAAAATCAACGAGAAAAGTGGATCGCTGCGGTTAGAAGAATAAAGTAAGTATCATAACCTTATTGTTATAAAAATACAATTCGGCGTATTATGAATAGTTGTAAAATTGTTATGTTTAGCAAAAAGAAAAATTATAAGTCAATAAATTGTTATATTATCAAAATTTAATGCTTACTAGAAAAAAATGTTTTGCAAACAATGTAATTAATACATTGCTGAAATATTGCAAAATATATATTTGTATAGTGTTGATGGATCACCATGGGTTCCCAAGCCTTATGATCGCATTTGCAGTGAACATTTCATTGGAGGAAAAAAATCGGACGCCGTATTGAGTCCTAGCTTCGTTCCGACAATCTTCCCTGCAATTTATAAAACTCGAAAAGTTAGTGAATCTACGATTATAAGCAGGTAAAACTTATTTGGTAAAACTATACCATTGTTAATAATTTAACTACAATAATTTAATATTTTTAGATACAAGCGTTTAATTACCCGTAAAATAAAAAAAAATCACCTCCACCGTCAACTTCTGAACTCACTATACAAGAACCAATGCAAGTGATAAATGAATGTGAACCTCCTCCGATTGTATCTCTAAAAGTTGACCAAGAGTGCCAAGTTGATTTTTACTCAAGCTCCGATGTCAACTCACATACATTTATTTGCAACCGTTATATAACAAATAATTTATGTCATGCTGAAACTCAAACAGAAATAGTTGTAGATACTAGGCCGGTAAAAATACATGTTAGTAATAAAAAATTTGTTAATAAAAAAACGCGGTAATGATCAAAAAACGTTTGCTGATAAAGAAAGTCAAGCAGATAAACTGAAAATTTCAAGAGATCAGTAAATAACTTTGCGAATAATTGTATTGTAGTAATTTGGATTATGCTCATATCCTAATTATGTCTTTTATCATTAACATATATTTATTCGAAACAAATGTATTATATTATTAAATTTATTATATGATATTAAAATATTAAATGATTCTGTAATAAATAATTAGTGCAGAAAAAAATTTAATGTGTATCCATACATAAAGAATAGATATAAGAAGAAAAGGAGAGTGTATATCTATCAACCATACTCATCTTTTTTCTTTTTATGGATGCAACCTAAGAACATATGCATAGAGTATATAGTTCCCAACTCAAAGTATTACGGAAAAAATGTACTTTTCTGAACATTTCATCTTGCATTTGTTGATCAGACAGAAATATTTATCATTTAAATCTATAAATAATATAAATAATATAAATAATTATTTAATTGCAACAAAATATCATTTAAATTATTTTAGGTGAAATGAAACAACATATAAAATTTAGACAAAATCATTTGTATTTGCTCCAGGTTACCATTAAGTGTGTTGTTTTAGACAAATTGTAATATTACATAATGTAACAGAGTAAAATATCTGTAAGTCCGAATATATTATTTACCTCAGGTATATAATATACATGCATGCCAAACACAAATTTGCATCTGCACATATTCAGTACAGGTCCTTAATTTTTTTAAATTTTTTGTATAAAATTATTTTTATATCTAATTTTTTTTCAAATCTCAAAATTAAAGCATGATAGAACAAAATTATATATAAAATAAATATACAAAATTATATTCTACAACAAATAAGATTTTATTCTGTACATTTTCATCTTACTTTTAGATTCTTATATATATTTAGTTCTTTTTACAAAAGTGAAAACAGTCACAAATCTGTTTTTGTACTTCAGGGACTCTTAAAAATGTTTGATTATTCTGATTTAGTTTGCTTCATATTACAATAATTACTAAAGCATGATTTATATATATTTACATATGCCAGCCGAGTGTTACTCATAAATATTATATATTATTTATTTATTTATTTATTTTTTTTTTTTTTTTTATAACTCGTTTTATTTAGCAATCAGAAATACATTAAGATTCCTATGAGCTGAAATGACAATGTAAGAGCGATGCCTAAGAAGAGCTCCAATGAGATCATCTCAGTTTAACAATTAATATAATAATATTATATTAGACCTAATCTAAGACCAAGTCTAAAGGCCATTGTCGTTTTAATCTTCTTGTACCATAAGGTTTAGTAATTTCTACTATAGAGGGGTTCGAATGTGAGTCCAGTTTGCGTTTGTATTTTTCTTTGAATTCTTGGAAAGTTAAATGCACCGTTTTCATCTTGAGGTCGCTGTGAATGGTTTCATTTGTTACATACCATGGAGAATTAAGAATTGTTCGTAAAATTTTTGACTGAGTTCTCTGCATTATAGCTATATTAGATTTGTAAGCACATCCCCAGAGCTCAATTCCGTAGGTCCAGATTGGTTTGATAATTGATTTATATAGCAGCAACTTATTTTCAACAGTGAGCTTAGACTTTTTACGCAGAAGCCAATCAAATTCTTTCATTTTGATCATTATTTGCTGCTTTTTTGTTTTTATGTGGCTTTTCCAAGTAAGTCTGCTATCTAAATGAAGACCAAGATATTTCACTATGTTTTGTTTCGGAATCTGGACGTTGTTTAAATAAATTGGAGGACAAGTACCCTCTCTCAGGGTAAATGTGATATGAGCTGATTTGGTTTCATTTATGCAAATCTTCCATTTGGCAAGCCACATTTGTAGTTTATTGATATGTTCTTGCGTTTGTCGGGAAGCTTGATCAGCACTGTGATTACTACTTAGTATGGCAATATCGTCAGCGAATGTAGCAAGTGTCAGATTTTCAAGTAATGGGAGGTCCTTTGTGTATAAAACATATAAGAAGGGTCCAAAAATACTACCTTGTGGAACTCCTGACATTATTTTGTGGAAATCAGATGTTACTTGATTTACTTTTACTTGAAAAATCCTATCTTGTAGATATGATTTGAAAATCCCATAATACCTGGATGGAAGGTATGCTTTTATTTTATATAAAAGTCCTGGGTGCCAAACCTTATCGAATGCTTGTCGAACATCCAGGAAGACACCACTACAGAAATGCTTATTTTCAAATGACTTATGTACAGTGTCAATAACCCTGTGAACTTGCTGTGTGGTCGAATGTTCACGTCTAAAGCCAAATTGATGGTAGGGGATCCAATCTGAAGGAAGCTCATTGTTGATTTGGTCCAAAAGAATCCTTTCAAGCAGTTTAGATATTACGGGAAGCAAGGATATTGGTCTATATGAAGACACCTCAGTCAAGTTTTTGCCTTTTTTGGGAATCATTAATATTTGGGCAGTCTTAAATGATTTTGGCCAATACTCTACTCTGAGTATGGCATTAAATATATACGTTATTAAAACAATCGTTTTCTTAGGAAGTTCTTTCAACGCCCTTGCAGTTATTTTATCAAAACCAGGCGATTTTCTTGTATTTAACATCTGGATTTGCGAGTTGACTTCTTTGGGTTTGATAGGTTTGAAAGATTGTGATAACTGTAGAGGTTTAAGCAATTCTTCTTCAATCTCTTTATCCATGGTAGAATCAAATGGTTTAAAAACATTAGACAAGTATTTAGCAAAAAGCTGCGCTTTGTCTTCTTCACTTCTTGCCCAAGGATCATTAGCACTGTTTCTAATAGATGAAGAAAAGAATTTAGGCTTCTTCACATTACTAGCTGCTTTCCATATCGAGTTATCTGATCTGGATAGATTATTAATGTACTTCTCAAAATTTTCATTTCTGACTTGCCTAAGTTTGCTTTTAAGTTCTCTGCAAAGTTTATTGTATGAATTTTTATCGTCAGGTCTATGATTTTGTTGCCATTTAGCTCTGGCACGTCTTTTTTTCCGAATAAGTTCTTTGATTTCCAACGGAATATCTTGGAATGCAGGTGATGCTTGAACTTTAGGAGTTGCTTCTTGAATTGAAGTCTTAATGTGTTGAAGCAAATCTTCAGTAGCCTTGTCAATTTCAGTATCGCTTTTGAGACTGATATGTAAATTTGTTCGCTCTTTCAAAACTTCTCGAAATGTTTCCCAATTTGTATATTTGCTATGTAATATATTTGAATTTATTTTTTGTATAACTGTGATTCCTATAGTTAAAACAATTGGAGAGTGATCTGAGGATAAATCGTATGATGGCTTAATATTCGTCACGTTCTCATTTATGTTATTCAAAATAAAGAAGTCGAGCAGGTCTGGTATTTTTTGAGGATCACTAGGCCAATATGTCGGGGTTCCAGTGGACAGAAATGAATAATTATTATTATTTAAGGTTCTCAGGAGCTCATTACCCTTGCTTGTGATCAGACGTGATCCCCAAGAAGTGTGCTTGCAGTTAAAATCACCACCTACAAGAAATTTCGCACCCAATTGATGGAAAAACTGTTCAAAATCTGTTTGCTTGATATTATGTCGTGGAGGGCAGTACACTGCTGAGATTGATAATTTGTAAAGATGCATACTGACAAGTATTGTTGTTGCTTGTAGGTGTTCTTTTTGGTACGGAGGAAGTTCGGTGTGAACTATTGTATTTCGAATAAGTATGGCTGATCCTCCATGAGCCGTATCATCCGGGTGATTGCAATAGTGTAGTGTGTAATTCGGAATCTTGCAGAAAGAGAAGCTAGTAAAGTGGGTCTCGCTTAATAGCATTATGTCAATGCGATTCAAAGTAAGGAAAGTAGTTAATTCTAGCTTGTGCTGTAGGAGCCCATTGGCATTCCAAAGTGCAATTCTTATAAATTTAGCCATTACGGATTAATTTTATTTAATAAAGTTGTTAGCAGGTTGAAACCACACCATTTTGATGAATTAATTGATTAAACATCTGTTTGAATTCGTGCATGAACTGAGCGAAGCTTGCGGATATGCCTGAAGCAGACTCTGGATTAACGTTGTTATTTAACACCTGTGCATATGTTCGAGGGTGACCTTGATTAGCGATCTGATTTAGATTTAGATTCGGGTACGGGTTAGTGGTAATAGTTGGATTAACCGTATGTCTGTTGTTGGATTTTTGGTTTATAAACGTTTGTGGTGTATTATGATTCATTTTTGGAAATTTTTGATTATATACCTTCTTATATGCTGGGCATCCACGATAACTAGCTGCATGATCTCCGTCGCAATTTGTACAAAAATTTAATACATTTTCAGGTTTCTTGCAGTCTGATGTAGTATGATTGTTACCACAACGGGAACAAGTAAACGGTTTATTGCAGTAACGTTGAGTGTGACCGAATTGTTGGCATCTTTTGCATTGCACAACGGATTTATTATAGTGTGGCGGTTCTATACGAATTATGTTGTTAAGAATCTTTGTTACGCTGTATATGTCTTTGTTATTTTTTGCGGGTTCAAGATCAAGGTAAAATAAATTTAGAAGAATAAAGTAAGTATCATAACCTTATTGTTATAAAAATACAATTCGGCGTATTATGAATAGTTGTAAAATTGTTATGTTTAGCAAAAAGAAAAATTATAAGTCAATAAATTGTTATATTATCAAAATTTAATGCTTACTAGAAAAAAATGTTTTGCAAACAATGTAATTAATACATTGCTGAAATATTGCAAAATATATATTTGTATAGTGTTGATGGATCACCATGGGTTCCCAAGCCTTATGATCGCATTTGCAGTGAACATTTCATTGGAGGAAAAAAATCGGACGCCGTATTGAGTCCTAGCTTCGTTCCGACAATCTTCCCTGCAATTTATAAAACTCGAAAAGTTAGTGAATCTACGATTATAAGCAGGTAAAACTTATTTGGTAAAACTATACCATTGTTAATAATTTAACTACAATAATTTAATATTTTTAGATACAAGCGTTTAATTACCCGTAAAATAAAAAAAAAATCACCTCCACCGTCAACTTCTGAACTCACTATACAAGAACCAATGCAAGTGATAAATGAATGTGAACCTCCTCCGATTGTATCTCTAAAAGTTGACCAAGAGTGCCAAGTTGATTTTTACTCAAGCTCCGATGTCAACTCACATACATTTATTTGCAACCGTTATATAACAAATAATTTATGTCATGCTGAAACTCAAACAGAAATAGTTGTAGATACTAGGCCGGTAAAAATACATGTTAGTAATAAAAAATTTGTTAATAAAAAAACGCGGTAATGATCAAAAAACGTTTGCTGATAAAGAAAGTCAAGCAGATAAACTGAAAATTTCAAGAGATCAGTAAATAACTTTGCGAATAATTGTATTGTAGTAATTTGGATTATGCTCATATCCTAATTATGTCTTTTATCATTAACATATATTTATTCGAAACAAATGTATTATATTATTAAATTTATTATATGATATTAAAATATTAAATGATTCTGTAATAATTAGTGCAGAAAAAAATTTAATGTGTATCCATAGATAAAGAATAGATAAAAGAAGAAAAGGAGAGTGTATATCTATCAACCATACTCATCTTTTTTCTTTTTATGGATGCAACCTAAGAACATATGCATAGAGTATATAGTTCCCAACTCAAAGTATTACGGAAAAAATGTACTTTTCTGAACATTTCATCTTGCATTTGTTGATCAGACAGAAATATTTATCATTTAAATCTATAACTAAACCAATTTAATATAAATAATTATTTAATTGCAACAAAATATCATTTAAATTATTTTAGGTGAAATGAAACAACATATAAAATTTAGACAAAATCATTTGTATTTGCTCCAGGTTACCATTAAGTGTGTTGTTTTAGACAAATTGTAATATTACATAATGTAACAGAGTAAAATATCTGTAAGTCCGAATATATTATTTACCTCAGGTATATAATATACATGCATGCCAAACACAAATTTGCATCTGCACATATTCAGTACAGGTCCTTAATTTTTTTAAATTTTTTGTATAAAATTATTTTTATATCTAATTTTTTTTCAAATCTCAAAATTAAAGCATGATAGAACAAAATTATATATAAAATAAATATACAAAATTATATTCTACAACAAATAAGATTTTATTCTGTACATTTTCATCTTACTTTTAGATTCTTATATATATTTAGTTCTTTTTACAAAAGTGAAAACAGTCACAAATCTGTTTTTGTACTTCAGGGACTCTTAAAAATGTTTGATTATTCTGATTTAGTTTGCTTCATATTACAATAATTACTAAAGCATGATTTATATATATTTACATATGCCAGCCGAGTGTTACTCATAAATATTATATATTATTTATAACAAACAAATTCATTAATATATAATAAGTTTGAGTTTGTGATCCAAAAGTTTGATTTATTGCATGCACTAAATCCATAATGAAACACTTTTTTGATCAGAACATTTAGTCAGTCTAAAATACAAATGTAACACTTGAAGTGCAGCTCTTAAGAATGATTTTAAAATTGTACTTGTGGAATGAATTTAGCCCATAATAAAATTACATCCTAAATGTTTTTGATGTTATCCAACATTGTTTTTAATGACAAGGTCATAAAACCTAATTTTATTTCGAATTGCACAAGTAATTTCATCAATTTACAACTGTACAATTAAATGCACATACATCTCATACAACATACTAATTGATAACCTGTATTTATACACATTAATTTTGTTAACTCATAATTTTTCATCGTCAATATATTTGTAGAACATATAAAATGCATTAAATTGCATCAGAAGTAAATCATAACAATAATATTTATTCACTATTTATGATTATACCTATCAGGTATGTAATTATTATAATAATGCACAGCACACCACGTTCATGCCAATTATATTACATTCCAGTTTATGTATCGATTATAAAAAATTGTGCTATATACACACTGCATATATATACATACATATATACATATGTTTACAAATACAGTTGGACAATATTCTGTAATATAATATAATTAGAGTAATTATTATGATTTACACTGATATTCTTTTCAATTGTCAGTTGATGAATCTCCATAATTGAAATGAGAAATCACATCACAGTTTATAAAGCACATTTGAAACACTATTCATTCACTGAAATTATCATACAAGTAACCCTGAAAGTTCACAATTCCGTCTGGCATAAATGTGCAGAAGGAAAGTCACAGAATAGGGTCACTTTTAACATCAGACTTTTGGCAATCACACGTATGTCAACAATTGCAATATTACTTTATGGATACCTGATTTCAAACAAAATGTCTAAATCAAAAATATATTCTGTAACATTAATTACAAAAAATAAAACCTAATATTGATGCAATACAACGTCATTTTAGTATGTTATAAAATAACATCATCTGATCAACATTATTTTATCCATAAATAAATACATTACATGTTGTTCATGTTACTTAAATAAACTTTCATCACTCTATTTATTAATAAAACAGATTTCGGTCACCTCTTATTTCAATTAAGATCACGATCTTCTAAGTACTTGTATTCAAATGTAAAGCCTTCCTTTTTCCTTTGCCCCCACTTCTCATAATCAAAATATATATACGTCCCCTAAACATTGAAATAAACAACACCGGTTAATATTTAATATAACTTGTATGTACCATATAAAAAATAAAATATAAAAAAGTTACCTGTTCATATTCTTCATTAATTATTTTTGGTTCTTCATGCCTCTGAAACCACATCATATATTTTGTATGAAATCGCCATGATTGCTTTTTAAGTGCTTTGGCTGCTAAATACTGTGCTTTAGTTCCCTCCATATAATAAAAAATAAAAAACAAGGACTCAGTAGAGAGACGTTGAAAAAATTCCACAGTGTCTGAATGTGGCAGCGGAGTCTGTAAGTAATTGTAATTTTTTGTTTTATTACGTTGAACGCGTAATTCAAGGTAATGATAACCAATTGTTTTTATTGTTGACTCATCTCACCTGTGGATAATATGAAGGCGTTTGTGCTGGATTTCGTGGGAGGTATTGCCTTAGTCGTTCACTGTCACTAGGATGAGGCATATGATAAAATGCAGCTTCCATCATTTGGAACTATAAGAACAAAAATGTGATGTCATTTAAAATAGAAACGATGTTTTATTTCTTTAGCTACGTTATTGGCTTAGTAAGATAGTACATAAGGCCAAGTCTCCATAATTGAAATGAGAAATTTTAATTTTTTAATTTTACTTCATTCTTCGGAACGCAATTTTTCAAGTCTATATCAATTTATTCATAGGGTATCTTGCCTTAAGGCAAGTTGAATAATCTTTCCAACATGAGCAAATAATCGACTGTCAATAATAAATCAATATATATATATAATAAGTCATGAGTGCCACATAAAAATACTAAGTAGACACTCAAAATTGGAAACAAATTTCAGTTTATTCATTAATACTGACAAAATGTGCCAATATGTTTTGGTACTGGTTTACTATTTTTGACAAATAGTTTAAGTATCATATGTTATTGTACAATAACGACTAAAAACGAAAATTCACATTTCTAAAAAAAATTATCTTTTAGTCGGTGCTTTCTCCAAAATGCTGCATCAATTTAAAAAATTTAAAAACCTTTTGATGAACCATGATAAGGACTCGTGCTGATTTTTGTGAGACGAATGGACGAGCGGTTTCGTTGCGGAAAAGTACAAATTTATTTACAATTGATTTTGAAAATTCAAAAACCGGTCGAACGATTTCAACCACTTATCATAAGTCAACAATAATTTTCAACAGTTACAAGAAGTGGTCCGGGCGAGCCAAAAACTCATCTCCATGATCCTCAACTACAATAATTCGAATATATTTGAATTTTTATAATCGCTTCAGGATTCTTAGCTAACACATGGATCAAAAATGTTGTGTTTTCAGCTAATTTTAAAGAAAAGACTCGGCTGATCGTCTCGTAAAACTAATCAAGGCGAGTGTCAGCGAAACTAATCGAGTCGATTCTCATCAAATGGCTCTCAGATTCTTACATTTTCTAATTTGGAAATTGGATTCAGAATGACGCTTTTTTGGACAAAACAAACTTTATGTAAAAACTAAACTAACTAGTTGGTATTGGTATTTTACCTTGAGGCAAGTTTTTTTTATATTTATTTATATTAATCTCATATCTCAGTCAGACAGGGGTGTCTGGTATGAGATTTTATGAGACAAAAAGTTACATGAACTTCCAGGAATGTGTAAATAATCGACTTAATCAATAAAAAATAAATTAATTTATGAGTGATTAAAAGTATTCCGAGTGGATTTATTACACATACTTGAAAATGAACGAACACGTTAACTCGGAGTATTTTCTAAAAACAAATTTTAATAAATCAACAATTTTTATAATTGAACCAGTTTCCATAGGATTTTAATGGTTTAGTATGTTCATTAAGATCAAGTACTTTATCGTTATACCAAGTAAAACGTCTAATTTTAATTTTAACAAATGTCCAAAAAACTGCTCATTTTCTCAAACTTTTTTGAATTTAAAAAAAAAACTACTTGTCGCAAGGCCGTAATATTTCAGTAAGTTCTATAAGACCATGATACATATCGCCAAAAAATGTTCCATGAAAATCGTCTTAAATTTTTTTTCAACAGCTAATTACAAGAAAACGGCTCGGTAGATTTTTACCTAAAACTAATCAGTATCATTCCCAATTAATATCTTTCAAACAGTTTTTAATTTTTTTAAATCGATTCAGTAGTATGAGCTTAAATGTGGACGAAAAGTTTAGCACTTTTTTCCAAATTTCAAAGAAACGGCTCGGAAGATCGTCGCACAAAACTGACAAACGATAGTGCTCATTCAGATACATCAAATGGCTTTTAAATTTCTGAAATCTGTTCAGGCGTTTTTGAGCAAACGTCGATGAAAGTTCTAATTTTGACAAACGCCGAAAAAACGATACTAATTTTTGAAAACTTTGAAGAATTTTTAAAATTAAGTGACTTGTCGTAGGGCCGTGATATTTCAGTATGGTCTATAAGACTATAATATGTACCGTCAAAAAAAAAAAAATTAATACTTTATACAAGAAAACGCCCGTCCGATCTTTACCAAATACTAATCAGGTCGATTCCCATATCTTTCGAACGGTTTTTGAATTTTCAAAATTGATTTAGAATTGCGGGCTAAAACGTGGACGAAAAACTTTTCACTTCTCTGCTATTAACAAAGATATGGCTTGGCTGATCGTCGCGCAAAATTGAAAAACGCTAGTCCTCATCGAGATACATCAAATGGCTGGCTTTTAACTTTCTGAAATCGCTCCAGTCGTTTTTGAGAAAAGTCGATTTACAGCAAAAAATCTGTTTACACACACATACTTTTCCCAAATTTGGTCTCATTCGATTCAGAATGGCTTGAAACGTCGAGAAAACATAAAATTAGCGAATCGGATTTTTTTCTGAAGTTAAAAACAATTAAGCACTATGGAATCTAACCTGACACTGGTGTTCTTTTTGCAGAGGCACTGGTCCTAAAGGAGCAACACCCAACAATGGAGGAATGTGTGCTTCGTTCAATGTCACCATAGAATTAGCATTGGGCACGTTCGATGAGGGGGGCGGCGGTTGCTCGAACAATGACTGAGGTCGTGTGTCGGAACTTTGGACCGAAGTCGGAATGAGTGTTGGTGGTATTTGCTGCGTTTGCTGCTGCGATGATGATAATTGCTGCTGAGATGCTGAAAGTTGCGATTGTTGCTGCTGTTGTGACATGACAGATGTCATTTCTAAACCAACTCGATTCACAACTTCTTGTGCTATTGATTTTAGTGAAGACATAGAGTCCGTCGGCTGCATTGAAAATAAACAAAAAAGATTAAAATTTTTATAGCAATATGCATTTAACTAGAACTGACTGAAAAACTATGGAGAAAACAAATTGGGGCTTTACCATCAATTTGTCAATAGAATTTACAGAATTATAAAAAATACTATAATTTATAGTTATTAATTAGTTATTACCTTATCTTCAGTTGGAAATATTCTCAGAGGTAATGAACTCACCTCTGAGATAGAAGGTCCATTCATAATAACTGGACTGCATTTATTGATTTCTGTTATATTTGTATTCGTTACATCAGGCGTTTCACAGGAATTGTGGACACTGCTATCTTGACTCGTCACCGTTGGAGCAGTAGGAATAATCGCAGGTGTTGTACTTACAGCCACCACAGACAATGTTTGACCTGCGGTACTTGTAGCCAGAATAGGACTTGGAGCCCTTAATGGTATAATAGGCCCATTCTCCAAATGCGCTGTAAAGTTTTATTAAATTAGTTTTAACAGTACAATTTACCATCTGGATAACTTTAATGGTTATCAGATTTTTGATAACTAATACTGCAAATAAATCAACAAATAAGTCGAATAACGAATGTCACAAACTTGACCATGAATGAAGTGTTAATTTGTAAAAAAAATTAAGATTTATACAACCAAATAACCAACTAGCCGTTGCAAGCCTAGGCATAAAAATTAAATAAACATGTAGTGCGTTAGTATTATAACGACTGTGGATAGTAATTATATTAAAACAAACTAGTTTAGGCGCTAAAAACTCGCCGAATATTCGGTATTTTACCGAATATACTATTCGTTGCAAGTCTACCTATCATATTTCAATTCAGAATATTCTGTTACATATTTGAATGCAAGACCAGCTTAAAGAAAACAAAATCTATATTATAAAGCATGACTTTTTCAAATTTATGGTCATGAATAGTTTGCCTAGTAGAATGAAATAAAAATCAATTATGTCATTATCATTATCTCACTTGTACTGTGTTTTATGACAGCTGCAAAATTTCCACCATTATTTGTGCTTCCGATACTGTTGTTGGTATGAGGTGAAGGAGGTGGTGGCGGTTTACTGGGCGTAGAACTAGCAAGAGCACTAGGGGTTATCTTATTATTTACACTAATATTGTTGCTAGTGCTATTGCTATTAACCGTCACACTATTATTGGCATTGCTGCCAGCACTTGTATTTAAAATGGTACTACTCGCACTTGTACTTAGGTTTGAGTTGGCTCGTACAGCAGTAGGTTTCACGGGCTGAAATTCAAACATAAATTTTAGATATATTCATTACTAATTAAATGAATAATTTTAAATAAATATGTTGAAATTTTAAAATGCAAACATTACTACTTATTCACTTGCAAACATTTCACAATGTAAAAATAGAAATTTGTAGATGAGGAAATTAGGAAGTAAGTAATAGATGCTCTAAGAAATAATATTAAAAAATTAAAGGTTTGTAGATATGAGGTGTTTTAAAGAACATTTGATAAAATGAAAATTTTTAAATTTTTTGTACCACTAGTTGGAGTTAATATCTTCATTACAAACTATTAGTTCTATTTTTATATCCGAATCTTCAAATAACATTTTTCTCAAACCACTTGGTTTGAAGAAATTGTTGTCCCGTAAAACTATAAAGTTTTGTTTTAGAACTCAAACATTCAATGTCTTACCTAATTGTAAAATATTGCACATTTACAGGATAAGAATTTGTAAACTCTTTATTTTAAAAACACCAACTTGAAATTTTGTATTGTGATACTACAAATTATAAATATGTGTAACATATTTCTTTGCAGCACAAACAAAAATATAGAATAAATTAAGTTATCATGATTTATATTTTTGAGATTATCTTATTAGTTATAAATACATTTAATAAATAACTGATATTATACTAATTACCAAATATTCAATAAGGCTCAAAGGCTCGCAATTTTAAATGATCATTAGTTTTGCATTTTATATTTATTCTTTATGACTTGATATATATCAAATAATTATGAAACTAAACTTTTTAAATTTATTCATAAAAATAATATAAATTTTGTATATACTTTTTCATTTATGTTTTAGTGTTTATTGGTAATGCTTTTTTTAGTGTAAATTGAAAAAAAAAATATCCAAAGATCTAATTAAAATAAAAACATAATAACAATTTAAGATATTTACAGTAATTTTGCTAAGAATGGGAACATCTTCCCTTTTCCTTTTCTCATGGCAATCATTTTCGTGGCAATCGCTACTGTGGTTGTGGTTAATGCATCCAATCATTGATGGAGATGCTATAGGACTTGTTCCTGAGGCCATGCTAATTGGAGAACCAGCCGTGTCATTGCTATTGTTGCTATCCGTCGTAGCTGATGATGGTAAGCCGACACCACTTAATTCAATTTCATCCAATCCTATTATATCATCATAAATATATTCATTTTCTTCAAAATCTGGCTCTTGATTTGCATCTATGTAATATTCAACATCATCCTTTATCCTTTTTATCTGGAAATTAAAAAACAAGTTGCTAATATGATAATGAGTAAAACAATTCAATATAAATTTAAGAATTAAGAACAATATTATGTGTGTAAAAATGTAAAATTTAGCTAACTGATGATGCTCGATTAAAAAATAAAACACTAGAATTAAATTATTTAAAATATCTCATCTAATCTAATGTAATTACAGAATGAGTAAATTGAGTGTAATCCCGGAATTCACTGCAAGGATAGAAGAAAACCCTATTCTGGAAGAAAAGAAACACAGGATATAATATAGAAAGCGGAGATCATAAATTGTGAATCTTCATAAAAATTACATTTTTTATATAATTATTGTAATGAAAGCAAGTTTGAAGTATATATAGAAAAAATTATTAAGTAACTACTAAAGCAAAAAAATTTTTGATTTAGTTTTTCTGGTTAAAGGAAATGGCTTATTTGAAATCAGTTAACAGGGTTTTTTTCTATTTGCACAATAAATTTTATACAAAGTATCTTGTTTGTAATATTATAGTTATTAATTTGTTTGGTCTTAACACGTTTGGAGAAAAATTAATTAAAAAAAGTTTCAACAAGCAAAATCTAATATTCTATTTAATATATATACCTACTAAAATATAAAATTCTACTTCATAGAACATATTAAATTATAAAATAAAAGTAAATATTAATATATTAATATAGTAATATATCAAGTGAAAGTAAAAACAAAAAAATGACTTAGATTGTGAAAATAATATAAAGAAATAAAAATATTTTTAAAAAATTACCTGATCAACTTCAACAGACATATTATCCAACATTCGTAAAAGTGTTTCTAATTTTTTAATATGGTATCGATGCTTTTCCAATCTTGATCTTAAATCATCTATCCTATCTTGTTTATCTTTATCTACTCGTTTCTTTTTCCCCGCCAATAATGATTCAATTTCTGATTCAAACTGATCAATCTGCAAATAATGTAATATTGAATTATCAAAAAATATTTGAAATATATATATATATATATATATATATATTCTCATAATTTAATCTTTAAAGAACCAGATTTACTAATAATATATTAAAAATACTGATATATTATAAATTAAGCTTTTACTTCATATGCTCTTCAAAACGCATGTAAAACAAACCTGAATATTTAAAGCATCAATTTTATTAGCTAGCCATGATGAGATATCGTCCCTCTCTTTTTGTGCAGGGTCTAGTTTTTGAGCTGCACCAAGTCCTTCCTTAGAATAAGCTTTTGTTTTGGTTTCCCTTTCTACTACTTTAAACCTTTCCATTTGCTAAAAAAAATTGTACAATAAAATTTAAGTTCAATTTAGCCTGAATGCCAGGGTAGCACATACTGTTTCTATAAGCTTTCGGTAATCAAGTAATGTGCTTTTATCCTTGATTTCCCCCGACGCGATCCATGATTTGATTTGGTCTCGCAGCCTCTGAAGCTTTTTGATTTCCTTCTTAAGATCCGCCTCATACTTTTCCTTGAATAAAGCACTTATGTGAAAAAGATAATTTAATTTTTTAGTTCAACTTTGCCAACCTTTTGATTACTATTTGTTGCATTATAAACTTTCTGCCAAATATCCTCAAAAGTTTCAACACCTTCTGTCACTTTTTTTAGACATCTGTCAATTTCACCTAAAATTTAGAGAAGTTATAATTGCTATACAATGGCAAGGGAAGTAATGGGAAAGAAATTGCTTAAGATATCAATTATTTTGGGTTTCAAAATACTCCTGGCTAAAATAACATATTTAGTCGCAAATTCTGACTCATTTCGGCGACCTAGATCTGGGGATAATCATATAATTTTCACATCTTGATTACATGCAAAGTGTAAACAGGTAGTGGGAAATTTTCATGTCGGCTGCTAAATTTACCTTGCAACTTTCTCGTAGCAGCCATGGCTATGTAAACATGTGGGAAAATGTATTAGGCATAGTCCAAACATACAAAATATTATCAAGATACAAATTAAACAGAAATGTTTTTTTTAGAATTGTCTACTGAACACACAAGCTTTGTCTACTATTCAAAATGGCTGCCAGTCAAGTCAAATCACGCATTGTCAAAACACGTTCAAAACATAACATAAGAATTGTCAAAATAAATTATGATTTAAATAATACTAGAATGCAGATGTAATTTCAAAATTATAAATCGATTATTTGCGTAATTTTCATTCGCTTTTGATCTATGTATATTATAACGCAGATAATTTCAAAAGCTAATATCTTCGCGCCGTAATAGGGTAATAAACATAGAAATGCATAGACACATATTTGAAAAGCTTGCAGTAGCATAATAGAAACTTTTTGGGATACCGGTGCTGTCACACACGGCAGGCTTTCGCGCTTTGATCTTTGATTCAAAATGTTACGAACATTTTATTTTATTTAGTTTTTATATCTGCATAGTTATTGTAATAAATAATTGTGATTAATAAAATATTGCATATAGTTTGCAAACCAAGATTTTGATTAAGGATTGTAAGCATAGATAAAAGAAGAGTATATGCATAGCATAGATAAAAGAAGTATATGTGTTGTATATGATTGTAAGTCATCTGTAAGTACATACTAGTCACTTATCTATGGATAAGCTAAGATAATAACCATTTTAACCAAGATTTATTAATGTTTAAAACCATACATTGTTGAGCAAAATAAATTTCCGGTTTCCGGAAAATTTTAGAATATAATTCAAAAACTGATCCAAAATCCAAATCCATGCAATTTATATGCAAGATCCTGCAATATGAAAAGTATTGGTAATTTGTTGGTAGAAAATCAACATATTGATGCTCGAAATTATTATATTGTGTAGGATTGAAACTGTTAGAAATTTGATGAGATAGTTTACTGAAGCCAATATCTCAATTATAAATCATTGATGATAAAAGGTGCTAATTTATAAAAAAATGTTTAAACTAATTAACTTCTGCTTAGGATTTGTTTATGAATTTTAGTAATTGTAAATTAATTTTTATCAGTGATTATTTTAATTCAATAATAAAATTATACAAGAAGACAAACTTGAAAATTTCAAGTTTTGTAGTCATAATTTAGTAAATCAAATAAACTTTATCAATCATATAATATATTTATAATTCCTACATTACATGCAATTGCTATAACTTATTAAATTTTTACACTAATTGAACTATTTCAGTATAGTATCTGTCACAAAAATAACATTTTGTTGAAACTAATTCTATGGTGAATTGCCACGCAATGCTTGTTGATATTATATTTAATATATTTTTGTAGATCTAATTTTCTTGGAAGATTTAATGTATTCCTGATATATAAATTTCATCTAAATATGTAATTATATATTTAGTTTTACAAAGATCTTTTGATAGCATGTCTGCTATATAAAACATTTTCTATTAAAACTTAAAATTAAGCTAAGGTTTTAAGTGTCACATATATGAGCATTTTGTCACTGTTTACTATATTACTATGCCACCTAATATTTTGTATCCGTAATTATATTCATTTAGTCTTAAATGATTTGTGCATTTTATGAAAATGCACATTTATAAAGATCACCGAGACAAACAAGAACTAGAAACGCTCAATGCAGACAGTCCTGATTGAAGACTAGTCATTGATCCTCTGAAACAATAAAGAATTATTAAACAATGCTAAATCATTTAAAATATTCAAACACTTATAATAATTGCAATTTTGGATTACCTAAAAGGTGTTAGTGAAAATGATGGTTCAAATTCAATGAAATAATACTGTTATTAAATAATTGCAAAATTTGTACAAAAAAGTATCTTATTCAAAATTAATTGAAACCTGTAATCTGACGAACTCAAAGTCTCATGATAATACATCACTCTTGACAATCCAGAACTTTGTTTTGCTCCTTGTTCCCTACGCCACTGCATTATATATGTACCACAGTGTGTCATTATATGTGACCCCTTAAAATAAATTTAAATTTTTTGATTCTCACATAATTATCAATTAAATATTAAATTTAATAAGCATGTGTTTCAGAAGACATAATTATTACTATTAATAATATTATTAATATCATTATTATCACTATTATCTATCTATATGATAATAATTTACCTGCACGCTCTCACCATCTTTACAAATTAAAGTTTTTTCAACTGAATGATACTGCTGCCCTTCTTTCCAATTTTTATTATCCAGCACAGAACTTTTACCGCCAACTACAAGCAGATATATATATATATATATATATATATATATATATATATATATATACTTGATTATTATTTCATATTTTACCTTCTTCAATATTTTGATTTGTTCGATATACTGAGAAATTTATTGCTTGTCCCAACACATCAAAATCCCATGTTAATACACTTCTAGGATCAACATTATGTATTAAAACTTCATGAACCTAAAATTTAAATATTTCTGTGTAATACTTATTAGGAAACTATAAATAATATTATTAGATGCAAATAAAAATTATGAATACCTGTCCTTGTGTTAATTGAATAGCGTGATATAAAGATTGATGTTCTGGAGAACTAGGTACTCCATTTTCACCAACCGTATTGGAAGGATGACCAACAATATATAAAGATTTTGGTACCAGACCTCCTTCATGAATTTGTGTCTATAATATTTTTTATATTATATATAAAATGTTTATATATTCTGATATTGAAATTCATAAAAATGTGAATGCTTACTTTACAGTCCCCGCCTAAAAAATCAGGTACAGAATCCTCAGGTATCAAAGTATTTAAACCATCTAAACTATCACCAGCAGAGAAAAATACAAATTTACTCCTGGTATTTTCATCTATAATTATTTATTCAGGTATATAATCGTGATTTGCTCTAAATGTCATGAAAATAATAAAGTAATACCTATAAATGTGCTAACCAAGGTCCACAGTATTGGAAAAACTCGCGGCGCTCGAACGATTAAAACACGACCCATAGTATCAGGATAATTTGCTTCCACTGTTTCAATTATTCTGTTTTGTGATAAATATTTTTTGAATGAGTTCTCAATAAAATAAAAACATGAAATTCTAAAACCAAGATACAAAATAAATGCATTTAGTAAAAACCTTAAAAGTGTTCGAATTCCTGGTCTCCATAAATGGCGCATATTTAAGCCTTCCAGGTCTACCAAGAGACACCAGCCACGCACCGCACGACCCATTTTCCTCGAAGATTGCATAATACGGCTCAACCCTTCTTCACAAATGTGCAAAGTCTAGATTTTAAATTAATTAAATGCCATTATTACCACCATACCATATATATGTATAAAAAATAAAAACTGTTACAAATAGTAAACACATTTACTTCTATGGAAATAGATAATATAGAAAAAAGTAGTGATTCCTAAAATGATTCACTATGAAAAAACAATAAAGAAATTGCTATAATAATAAATAAATAATAAAAATAAATATTACAATATTTTTACCAAGTTTAATATTCCCTCCTCCCCAACAGATTTGATTAGACCTTTAACATCCATGTGACCAAGTCTTAATAGGTATAATGGTCTTCCATCTGTATAAAAATTTATTGTTTATAAATTATAATTAGCTACACAAATGGCTGCTTCTAAAAATTGTAACAAGAATAAACTATAATCATTTTACCAATGTCAGTATTATGCCATCCTCCTGGAAAGTGATTAGTCAGCACCGTATGCATTCTGTAAGTTTGTTTCAGATGATCTATATTATTTTGCTTTCGCCACAACATACTTTTTTGAAACATCTCTTTAGCTCCTTGAATATCAAAATCACGCGCTCTCAGGAAACGAAGAAGTGTAAACCAATCCTGAGGCTGAGTCAAAGATTAGTCAAATCAATTTCAAATCATTCAATCAAGATTAAGCATAAATACACATGTTTTAATTACCTCTTCTGTGTCATCCTCCAAAATTGCTTTTTTGAATTGGAGTAGCTGAGATTCTTCCAGAGGTGTTAAATCGCAAAACCATTTTTTAATATATTCAGCATTCAAAAGATCTAATAAATATTAATCATCATGTTTATATATTTATATATTAACACTTGGAGATACTATTCGGCAAGGATGTTGGGCAATGTTGCATAGGTTGCATATATGTATATAGACAATAAAAAAAGTGTAATAATGTTGCTTCAGGCTAGTATAGGTTACTTCTAATTACTTCATTAGCTTGAAAATTTTCATTAACATGAAAATTGTAGATACGACAGAGAACTGGGAAAACATGTGTAGCATTATTGAGTATGTGAGGTGTGTGTGGTGGCCTGAAGACATGAAAGTTTAGGTCCAACAATTTCCAAAAATTATGTGTGGATATCTATAATCATGTATATATTAGCATTATAATTACCTTCTTGCATGCCAGCATGCTCATTATTTACATCATCTTTTGACATACTTGTATAATTATTTTGTGAATTATCATTTAAAGTTGAGATATGATCTCCTTCAATAGCTGGAGCTGTCCAAGGACTAACATAAGTAATGTTTTCCTTTTTAAGTTCTTCTACAAAGTATTCTATCAATTCTTTTCCTATACAAAATAAATTATGTTAATAAAAACAAATATTAATATAATTATCGTACTAATATCTCGCCAAATAGGCGTAAAATCTCAAAATTAAGATGTTTAATTCAAAGCTTTTTAATTAAAATTATGAAGTTGCTGCAAATCTTTTGAATTATATCGAAAGCAATGTTATCATTTTCAATTTGTTCAGAATATTTTTATAGAAAATTAACTAAAACTTTCAAACAAAAAAAAAATCAATGATGAATGAAGATTTTTAATCTTTGAATATATCTACTATGCTCTGAAGATTCATTGTTCCAATAAATTAAGATACATATTAGTAATTAAAATTATATTAAGATATTAAGATATTAAATTAAATTAAAGTATGTTTATTTCTCCATTTCTTGTGAGAAAAATTGTGGTTTGTCTAACAAACATTTTCATTTCACGTAAAACGAAATTAACCAAATAATTATAAATATGGTACAATCTCTAATATCTCTATATTTTATATCTTGCAAAATAATACCTTTCGCTATATTTTGTGAATATTGTTTCATGGCCAATTTTTCCATTGCACTTTCGAAACCAAAAAAGTTTTTAATATCAAGAGATGCTGTCTGATCAAAGCAAGTCCAAGATGGATTTTCTGGATGGACCTAATATAACAAATGAATGAATTATGACAAGGGAAACAATACCGATCGGTTATAAATATAATTAAAAATTCAGATTATATATTATTAACTTCTAACTACGTAAGATATCTTACTATATAATATAATAATATAACTATATAAAATATAATATATATTATAAATGTCTCTTACGTAATATCTGCACTTTTCAACAACACCAACTCGATTTGCAAAGCTTTCGTTAACGGCATCGATAATCAAACATCTGGTCTTAAGATCTAATGTATTTGTTTGGATAAAATATACGACATCCACGCCAATAATCTGAAATCAAATAAAACTTGCCTTAACAGAGAGGTTCTTTTATTAAATCGGCAATCAATTCCGACTGTAAAATAATTGGTAGTAATATACAATACTCTACAATAATAAATTCGTTCTAAAAATTTATATAATTGTTCCGATTTAAAGTGACAAGAAATGTTTTAATAAGTGCATTTGTGAACAATTATTAGAAAATAATTAGGAATATTACAATTACATGTAAGTTTTTACACCATATCACTTTCTTATAAATTAGTTTTAATTAATAGTTTTAATCTGTGCTTTCAAACTGGAGTCCACTGAAGATGACACAAAACAATGTGTCAAAACGTATAGAAACAATAAAAATGTTATTAGCCCATACAAGTTTTTACGTGATGGAGTATGCCTAAACTGTGAGTACAGCAAATTTAATATTGATTACAAGCCTGATATTAATTACAATTATTGCAGTTAAGAAGTGATGAAATCACAATTTTAGTCTGATACTCACTTTCTTCAGCAGATAAGGAGCCTCAACAGCCAATTTGCACCTCCTAATAGTTTCGCGACGTGATCGTTCTTCATTCCATTGATCGTGCGTGATTTCGCAATCAAGCACCACAGGAATTTGTGGACATGTTGGAAAACGACGCTCATACGCCTGAAAAATAATAAAAACCAATCAAATTATTAGATTTTCAACATTCAAAAGAAAGGGCTTAACTTAAAATGCAATTCACACTCAGCCATTTAATTTTAAGAGCTTTGATATTAAAACGAGCTGGATATTACCACATTATTATGAAAACAATGATGGTAAAAAAATCTTGATTCATAAAGAAATTAGGCAGACAAGTTCAAAACATCTGAAGAAGGATAAACCATTTTTCTGAAAACAATCATAAATAAAAATGTGAAGATCATCAATTATTAATCCAATTTTTATCGAAGAAATTATTAGTGTAAAACATTGGCTCAGGCGAAACCCATCATTTAATTAAAAAAAAATCGTAAAATTTCGTTTAAGTCGTAAATCGTAATTTTCGTTTTCGTTTAACATTCAATAAGAAATGAAGTAAGGTTCATAGAACCATCATATACTCGTATAACACAAGTATCGATACTTATTATTTGATCAAATATACGAAAAAAAAAAAAAAAAATGTACAATCGCTGAAATTAACATATTCATATATTATTATTATTGACTCTTGCTTCGGGATTCGCAGCTATTACATAGCCTTCGTTTTGTGCAAAAATTCTTAAATTTTTTCCACAGTTTTGCAAAACAAAACTCTCATTATTTTTCTTATTAAAAAATTCATGATTATCGACTGGTTAGTGCAAAATTCTGTGATGTGTACACATTTTTAGATATAAAATACCATGCTCAATCAATATCCACTGATGATGACATCAAATTGTATGTCGAAACGTTTGAAATTAAAGATTATTTTATGAATATTTGCTTTTTGATGTATCGCCCTCAAGAAATCACTCATTATTGTTATTATTATATATATATATGTGAATCAGCTGGCTAATTGACTTTTATGGTTTGCATAATCAGAAATTATTAAAATGTAATAAATATTCAATTTAAATTAATATTAGAATTCAAATAGTAGAATTATAACATACCAATCAGGAATAAGAAATGCAATTAAAACAATTATTTTGCATTAAAAAAGTGTTTAACCAGTACGCCGGTTGATCTATGTAAGTTACAGGTTTCCCATAAATTGCATATGATTGCAATAAATCTTAATATGATTGAAGACTAGTAAAAAAATTGGAAAATTAAAATAAACCATTTTCAACTCCAGCACATTTGTTTTACTCTGAGAAAAGATACATGTAGTATATCTTTCAACAGTGAACAACAGCTGTAAATAAATTTGAATCAAATCCCTTAGAATGCATTTAGGTGTTTGGCTTGGAAAACACATATAAAATGTAAAATACAACGAATCCAAAGAACTCAACAGGCCTATTGGTCCTATCAAAATTATCCATCGAGAATTATGTTCTTATTTATAATTAAACTTATTTGTAATCAAACCTATTAAAGTTTGGGGCAGAACTACAAAGACTAACATAGTAGGTAAAATAATGTTAGAAAGAATGGAATTAAAATTACTTAGGGCAATGACTGATGCCCTGAATTTATATTCAAATTTTCATAATACACAACGATCTTCAAATCCAGTTATACCAGATGCAATTAAAACAGAAACAACAATCATATTGAAAATAGCTAATCACTAATTAATTAGTTACACCATTACTGAATGCCTCAGTCAATAAAAAATGCATAATACTTTTGCTGAATAGCTCAAAGAAATTGAATAATGCTTTATTAACACATGTATATATACATACAATATATAAGTATGTTTGTGTGTTTGTGTACCCAAGTTGTTTCAGTAATGTCAAAACCTTCACCCCCTAAAGCGAAATAAATTATTAAGTTGATCTAATCAAACCACTCACGAAAATTCCACCAGAACATCAGTTCTTCAATAGACCTGAATTATATACACTACGAACCAAACTATTAATTACTTTTTGTACTTTGTACATTGTAATAGTAAGGCAGAATGCAATTAATATTTAGGCGTTCGTCGAAAACATGAAACATTAATTTCTATTTTAAATAATTGACATTAACGTACATATATAAATAATATATATTAATAACTTGTACACGTGCATATTACGTTATATCAGTTTTAAAATATTTTAATAGGAGGACAATATGTGCTCCTTTCATTTTTCTTTTTTATTAATTATTAGTTATGTTATTTTTTTTTACACAAGTTTGAAGTTTAATAAATTTTATATAATTTTTTTGTGGTTTTCCTGGTTTGATTACTGATTGATGACACACATTAAGTGTCGAAACGTTCAATAGATTAAAAAAAAATATTTCAGTTTTTTTTTCAATTCGAATATTGGGCTGCAAAATACTTTAAATATATATATATATATATATATATATATATATATATTTATTAGGGTGGTCCTTAAAATGGTCATTTTCGAATTTTCTTGCTCCCAGAGGCTCAAATGGTTCCAAATAGATGAAAAAACCATTCTCTGAAGGTTTTAGCTCAAAGTTTTGTATGGAAATAGCATGGAAAAATTTTCAAAAATTTTAAAAATATTTTTTTAGATGTAATTTAGCGAACAAATGAATGAATAAAACTCATTCATTTGTCGCTAAGTTATACCTAAAACATTTTTTTTTAAATTTTTAAATTTTTTTCCATGCTATTTCCATACGAAGTTTGATTGATTTGCGCTCTATCTAAACGTTAATAATTAAGAGCTAAAACTTTCAGAGAATTGTTTTTTATCTATTTGGAACTATTTGAGCCCCTGGAAGCAAGGAAATTCGAAAATGACCATTTTAAGGACCACCCTAATATACATTTATATATATGTATATATATATATATATATATATATATATATATATTATATATATATACCCACACCACACGCATTATTTGTTATTCATGATAATATTTATTAAAAGTCGATTTGAAATTCGAGAAATACCGACTGTTTTAATTAGCAGCTGCATATCTATTCATAAGTATTGTTATTTTTATTCTATTCAGCCTTCATTTGTAATTATTATACAGTTTTTTATTACTTAAATTTTAAATGCCAATAACAAGCTTAATATGATAAAATTGAAGAAGTAGAATATAAATAATTTTAATCATTAGTCAATAATTATACAATAGCAATGCCTCAAAATCAATGTACAATTAAAGCAAAGTTGAATATTAAAAATTTTAAGCTACCAACTATATTTTTAAAGGTAAAGGGCATCCAGCATCTACTGATAAAGTTCGGTTATTTGAAAAGGCTCACCTAGGGGATGTCTATTAATTGCGTGATCGATTTTTTAAGGATTTTTGGATCCCCCCCTTGGTGATAAATGTTTGAATTTTTTTAAATGTGATATTTTGTGATTTTTTGTCAAACCCCTAAAAAAATCACGCGATTAATGGACCTTATGGCCCCCTTACTTATTTGAAAAAGTAACCTTTCAAAACTTTAATTCAAAATTTACAAATTTTCTCAAAATCGCTGAATGTTGTGTTGTGTAAAGGCAGATTGTAATTTAATAAGGAAAATTTAAAAAGAAAAGATTGCTGAGTGTCGTCTTTGACTTTGTCCTGGGTTAAACAAACTAATATCTCGTAAATGTGTTATAATAATAGTCATGAGTTCAAACCACGTTATTGTAAAACCAATCTCATATTTTTCTATTATTTACCGCTATGCTTTTACCTTGTATGCGATCGTAATAAATAATTTCATTGACAAACAGAGCCAAATATCATTATGCAAACCGACAGACGAATACGTTTTAAAAGAACTACCTCTGGGATTCACATACATATATTGTTTCTACAGTTAAATAATCTGTTCATTTAACAAATATATGACTCGCACTCGGAGAGCTATGGGAATTGAATCAGAGGTCCCAGATTCGTCACTAACCTCGAGTAGCCTGATGTCAAGCAGTAGGAACGTCGGCTTTTACTTGAAAGTATAGCAATAGTCCTTGTCCGCCATTGTTACATCAATAAAATATTCATCACTATTACAGAAGTTGCACAAATAAAATACCATTACATAGAGATGAGACAACTGGGATGCCAACTATAAAACCGACGTAAGTTAAGGGGGTATTCTAGTGTAGAAATTCAAAAACATCGATTTTTTTTTATTTTATATTTTCAAAGTTTAACTATCTAAGAATATGGGTACGAGAAGGTTTTTGAAAATTTGAATTATTTTCGTAGATATAGGCATTTTACAGACTCGGTCTCGATATTGGTTTGGCTTCACGCAAAACTTTAAATGCGTTTTTCTCATAACTTTTTAGTACTGTTGACACGATTTCTTGAGTTCTACTCGACCGATTCATTTGAAATGTTCAGAGAGTCTGGTTGATAGACCGATCTATAGCCCGAACTAGGATTATCGCCAAAAAA